GGGTATGTGTGCCCACACCGCCTCTGCTTCCCCCCCCCAACCGGACGTGGGGGGGGGGATGTCCGGGGGGTTGTTCCACAAACCATAAAGTTCCCAAGGTTGAGAAACACTGGCCTAAGGACTTCTCCCATATATTTTTGAACTCATATTTTCCTTTGCCAGTTTCTCCTCCAACACCAAACACGGGCCTAACCTGTTCAGTTTTCCAAGAGTTACCATGCAGATGAATACCTCTTTTGTCCCATCTTTCTCCTGGTTTGGAAGGAATAAAAAGCAAATTTGTGTGCTGTACATAGCCCTGAGGGCTCCATTTGCCCCAAACCTGCTCTAGATTCTGTTTCAATCTGATCCAGTTGGATCCTCAGAAACGCAGTGTACATTTAGAGCAGGTATGGAGAACCTGGGCATTCTAGGAGTCAGATTGAAACTCTCAGCAGTCCCACCTGGAAAGGCTAAAATTGGAATTTTCATCCAAACGGTTCTGGACAGGAATATCCCCAGTGGTGTGCTGGAGTATTCATAAGAGCTGATTGTTAAATTTTCAAGAATTTTGCAAGTTGGTTGCTATACATTTATCAGCACACCACCAAATATCTTCTACGCTCACCTCAGTGGTCTCATGGCTTTAACAGCAGAGTTTTGATTGATCAACAGATGATGCTGTCACATAATTTCTGCCCCGGCTCCCAAGAAGGAAGGGTGCAAGCCAATTCAGAAATATAACATTTATTTTCTGGGGGCTGTACTGGCTTCCCATAGGGTTCCAATTACAATGGTCCAGTTTCAACGTGTAAAGATCTACAGGCTAAGGATCCAGGATACTTATTGGACTGTCTCTTCCAAGTGGATCCTGGCTGGCCTGTCCAAAAGTAGATGCTCTGGATTCCCACAGTTCAGGAGGTGACAGAGGCAGAGGTCTGGAACCAGTATTTAGTGCCTTGACCCCCTAAAATGTGCTTCCCCCAAGATCCAGCTAATCCCCTTTAGCCACTGTCCAGAAAATGGTAAAAACAGGGCCATTTCAACAGGCTTTTAGAGACCCACATCTATACTTAGCCTCTAATTGGATTGGCAGTGAGCTACTTTAAACATCACTCTCTTTTTAAAAATTATTATGATGTTTATGGTTTTTATATGGCCACCGTCAGCCACAATTTGATGACACGTAATCATCCTCATCATGGTTTTTATGGCTCGATTTGCAAACTGTTTGGAGAACATGTAATTATTCCCAGTAATATATAAAGGCTGGAAGCAAATATGTCAAATAAATTACATACATTTATTTATCAACCCTTCAGCCTAATGCTGTCCAGATGGGTTGGACTTCAGCTCTAATAAGCCTAAGTGACAATGGAGGAATATGCTGGCTGGAGGACGATGGGCACTGAAGTCCAGCACAGCTAGAGAGCATCATGTTGGGAAAGGCTGTTATGTGTGGTCCAGTGTTTCTCAACTTTGGCAACGTTAAGTGTGGACTTCAACTCCCAGAATTCCCATGCTGGTGGGGAATTCTGGGAGTTGAAGTCCACACACCTTAACGTTGCCAAGGTTGAGAAACACTGGTATGGGCAGTCCCTATTTCCTTTCTCCTTCTTGTTTGCTCCTTCCCATAATGGCAGCCTACCCTTACCCTGCAAACTTCATTCAGAAAATATGCGTGTGTTTAGTAAACGGCAGCCTATCAATATTTAAAACAAATAAGCAGGATGTGGCGAATGCAAAATAATGCCTAATAATAGCTGTTGGGGAAGCCAAGGGCAGTCCAGAAGGTGCCTTTATATAACTCACAATGGGAATGCTCAGGAGAGTTCCTCTTTCCACACACAGAAACAGGATGCCAACTCTGTCCTGGGGTGCGGTCATGGCTTGCAGTGAGTCACAGTGGCGTCGGGAAAATACATTCCTAGCAGATATACAAATATTTATAGATATGAGCTCAGTCTAAGGCGCAGCTGCCAGGAGAGCTACTGGAATAGAAGCAGCTGCCCAGGAAGCTGGAATCCTTCACACAATGGTGGAAGAGGAGATGACCATCTCTTCAGAGATTCCTGGAGATCAAGTTATTTTTGTAAGCGTTTTGCAGCCTGGGCTGCATCACAGCAGGATTGAAGGCCAGGAAAAGATCTTTGATTTGTCCAGGGTGGCTAAATGTTGAGGTTTCCTCATGTATCGGGCTGGAGGATGACTCTTGGATCCCCCAGGCTGTTTCTCCAGACCTCCAGATGTGCTATATTGAAAGCAATGTCTGTCTCTTACACACGCACACATCCCTTTCCCTGTTAACTTGTCCTTGCGCCCAGCACATTTCACGAACAACAGCTGTGTTCAGTCAGCTTTCCAGAACGGAAACTCCTCAACATATGAGTGAGAATTTCCATGGGGTGAAACTATCCTACCCGCCCCTTTTCTCCCGCCAAATCCAGCCATAATCACAAAGTTCAGGAAAGGGAGGAAAAGATGTGCAAACATTTTTTTTTTTTTTTGGTCCAAGCAAAACTCAACTCTTCTCTTCCACCCTGGTATTCCACTCAAAAATCAGCCAGCCAGATTACAATTTCAACCTGCATTCAAACGGCTGGTTTTAAAGCACTGAAGGCCATTTTTTTTTAATGCTTGAGTCTGTTCGTAGGTCACCAGAACAGGGTGGTTGTTTTGTACTATCTTTCTTTAGGCTTCCAATCCAAGGCCCCATGAAAAGGAAAGAGGAGTTATGCTGGGTGTGAGAAGAAAAAGAATCCACAGAGCCAACCCCTTTAGTTTGATGTTCCACAAATTAATCACAAGCTTTGGAGTTTCTAAGCTCTCTTTCTGAAGCAAGGTGATTAGAAGCCCCCAAAGGGTGGAGGTTGGGGGGGAAAAATGAGACTGGTAAAATGAGGGAGAACTTCAGATGTGCAAATTGGATCTCAACAGGCCCAGAATGATATCAAAATGCATTGCAAATGCTGGAGAAGGAGGAGGTAGAAAAATTGTGTGCTTTGCAACCTATAGTAGTGCAATGGCAGACTCCAACTGCTGTTTTGTTCATTTTTTTTTTAAACCCACAGCCTGCAAGCATGCACATCTGCAGAGTTCAATTAAAAAAAAGTATTGTGTATTTATCTCCATGGTAATGTACATGCACTTTCGTAAAAAAATTATGTAATTTCCTGTAAGTTTCCCCAGAGTTCAACTCTTTTCAGAATTAACACTTTGCTTACCCTGATTACATG